CAAAATTAGGAGGATACTAGTGAGACTATTTAGTCCTTTAAAACGAAATAGTCTCCAAGCTGCTGCCCACTAAACAATGGGGGAAGATGGTGTTACATAGTCTGTGTACTATTTATTACTCACTTGCGGATTAAATCTACAAGAAACTCCCTTGCTCTTTCCCCTAATTTCTATAAAATTTACATTGAATATTCAATGTCTAATTATTTCACTTGGACGCTATGGCACTGGTTCCTGAGAATCACCGCTCTTTATGTTCAAACAAAGTAAATATGGATCAATATGCCAGCCTATCTTTACCCCTGCCTATATTATTAAGCGCGCGTATCCATGCACTGCTGTCTCTTTAATATTTTTGTAAATATTATCAGCTTTGATAATATAGTAGGCTAACGGAATTTCTAAACAAGATGCATGATGGCGGTTAATTTGAAATGATAGTGGGATTGCATAAGCCTCTACTCCACCATATATTGGGAGTTGTCAATTGAAAAACTTGTTACATCGTGGTTTTGCACTCTAATATAAGCATGTAAATGAAGCCAAAAAGGAACTTTTGATTTCCACACTATTAGGAGTATGAGTAAGAAATGCATTAGAAACCTAAATAAAAAGAAATGGAAGATATGCCAAGGTTATTAGAGTCATGGTAGAGTAAGAAATGCATCATAATCAAGTATACACTAAATAAAAAGAAACAAGAATTCTCAATAATGAAAAAAATTTGTACCTTTTGAGATGAGACAAGCACTCCTTTACTATGAATTAGCCAAAGAATCCCATCAAAATCGCCAAACGCTAATGCATTCATAAGAAATCATCAAAAAATTAGAAAACTTAACCCTATCAAACAATTCAAAATAATGATCCACATGGGAAACAAAACATCCACCAATTCCACCAACACACAGCATTCATTCAAAATAATCCAAACAAAAATTAACAAAAAATTAATATAGCGATTGCTCACCTTCATGCCTGAACGGTCTGACGCTGGCCAGCGCTAGCGTTCGCTTTGCGACGGTGCGAGAAGCCGAAGAGGATGAACTCCCTGGCGGCGTTCCGCTGAAAGAACCCAAAGTGGCGCGACCGTCCGGTGGCGCTGGCGACCACGACCGATCCGACGACGACGAGGAGTCCGCGACATCGAAGAATGAGGATTCGATGTTACTGTGAGTAAAACCAGAGAGAGAGAGAGATGATTGGAACTTGAAACCAGAGAGAGGCAAGAGGGGAGAGGGCGGAGGAGGCGGCGCAGGAGGGGGGAGGCGGCGGCGAGGCGGAGGCGGAGAGGCGGAATCGAAACCACAGAGACAGAGAGAGAGAGAGAGAGAGAGAGAGACAGAGAGAAGAGTGAGAGAGAGAGAGAGAGAGCAGAGAGGATCGCGCGAAAATCCTCTCTTGTTATCGGGTCCGGATTTGATAAATGACAAAGGGGTGGTTGGAATTTGAAATCAGGGGTTTTGGACTTTCACAAATTCATCTTTGTTAAATCAATTGATTTAAAATCTAGATCCAAATCAGAATCCAAAACTAGATATTTGGATTTGAAATACCCTGAATTTTTAAATCCAGGACCAAATCCAAATTCCCAAACACACCGCCTTAATTTTAAATATTTATTGTTCAAATATGATTCAGTCATGTAATTTTTAATATGCATCCTCAACTACATATACAAAAAGCATTTTATGACTTTAGTAATTAATTTAAGTTTTTGCGCTTTTCAAATTTACAAGTACCAGTCCCCCCCCCCCCCCCACCCACCCACACCACACACCACGGGCAAAAAAAAAGGGAGAAAAGTGAAAACCCAAAAACATCGCATCATCAAAAAATTTGCCGCCTCTTTCCCCTTTCTCCCCCAAACCCTCCGCCATGGCGAACCGCTCCCGAATCCGAGCCCTAAAACGTGGCCGAGAAACCTCGGTCGCCAAGCGCGTCTCCGAGATCCTCTCCGCATCAAGCGGGGGCATGAGATCCCGCAACGGTCGATCTCGCTACAACCGCGTTGTTCGAGTTCCGAGTACTCGATTCGGTCGCAGTCTGGCCACATGGTACTTCACCTCCGTCACCGGCCATCTAATCGATGCTCGAATTCGACGTAATCCGCTACAGAAGTGGCATTCCTGTGTAATCTCCCGCGCGTTTCTACAGACGACGGCGCGGTGAAAAAGTTCGTCTCTCAGGTGAGGTTTTTTTTTTTTTTGCCTTCTTTTATCTCCGAGGAGTCTTAACAAACAGTTGGTGTGTTGTGGATCTAAGGGGCATTTAGTCCCACACTGGCAAAATGGAACCAAAGTGGCTCTGTTAACAATCCGAGTTCTCTCCCTTTAACAACTAGCTTTTGGTACCTGAGCCAATTTTATCTTTCCAGTTGCAAAGCTAGTCAGCGTGGATGATGAGACTGTTGAAGCATTATTTTATGTATGGGGCATTGCAGTGCTCAATCGGAATTGGATTAGTGCAAAGCCGATCCTTGGGGGCGCCTAGACTGCAGAGGTGTGGTGTCAGGTTAGGAGTATTGTGGCGTTTGATTGGGAGTAGATTAGTGCGAAGCCAGCTCTGCGTGGGCGTAGGATGGTAGTTTTCAATAGGAGTTAGACTAGTGCAAAGCCAGTCCAATAGGGTGCCTAGAACGAGGAAGAGTGATGGTATGTTAGGAGGATTTTGTTGTTAAATAATAAATATGAATTAGACTAGTGCCTACCCGATCCATTTGGGCGCCAGGACTGCATACAGCTCCTGTAACATTAGGAGGATTGTAGTGTTAGATCTAGAGTAACTAGTTCAAAGCCAATTCACATGTCCCCCGAGACTGTGGAAGTGTGATGGTATTTTGGATAATTGTTGTTCTAACAAGAGTAGTCTAGTGCAAAGCCCGTCCATGTGGACATCGAGATTGCGGACGTATGGTGGTAGATTGGGAATTTCGGAGGATAGTAGTGCTCGACCAGGACTAGCCTATTGCAAGGGTGTCAAATAAGCATCGTGGTATATTAAGAGGAATACAATGTTTGACGAGGACTATACTAGTGCAAAGCTGGCCGGTGTGGGCATTGAGACAATAGAAGAGTGGTATTTTGGGTCCATTTTGCCCCACAATGACTAAATAGAGAGTCATTATGAGTTTTTGAAGATTTGTTCGCTCCCTCTCCCTCTGATGACTAGTTTTTGGGGTGAATTCTTCTACAAGTTGGAAAGATGGAATGTTCTTGGTAGTCAGAAAAATGCAAGTTATTGGTGGTTTGGTGGGATTTCTTCCTCTTGGTTGAGAGCTAAAATGAACTCTAATGGTCAGCAGCTCTTTGTTTTCGAATTGCTAATGGAGTAATTTGTGCCTCTGGTGAGTTAATTCTCTGATGAATCTCTACAAAAAGTTGGTGCGCAGCAATGTCCTCTTGATTTGTTCCTTTTGGTTGAGGGGTAAAAATTAACTCTAAAGGTAAAAATTAATTCTAAAGGTAAAGGGCTCTTTTTTTTTCTTTGAAATGCTGATGGAGAAATTTGTGCCTCAGGTGAACTAATTCTCTGATGAATCTCTACAAAAGTTGGTGTGCAACAAAGTCCATTTAGGTTATTTGGCATTCTTAGATTTCCTTCTTTTGGTTTCCTGAAATGGTGGTTCCTTAAGCCTTTTAGGTTATTGGAATTCTTAATAGAGTGTATTTTTGGGTTTAATCTGAAGATTGTCCTTTGGGGTTATAGTCTGTCCTGTTACCTGAAACATTTTAGCGATTTCGGTTTTTTTCTGAAATTTGAGGTAGATTATATTTCATCAACTTTCTTGTTTGGGACAGAACAAAGGTTGTTCTCTCAGGCTTGATAGAGTATCTCATTTGCTTCGGTTGGGAAATATGAAATTTAGGTTCAGTCACTAATAGTATGCGGGAAAAGAGAGAATTTTTGAATGCTGGAAAGAGGTAGGGGAAATGAGATGGATTGGAAAATTATTCTCAGGTGTCATTTTGAGATTCTTGCTTCATTAGTTGGTTGCTTATCTATGAAATCACAACATACATCCCAATGTGTCAAGATCTGCTATAATAGAACTCAGCAAGGGCATCTCCATGGTATTTCAACCATGCTTCCTTTGTCTTCTAGAAGAAACCACAAACCTCAGCTTTGACTATGACCCGACCTAGGTAGCAAACGGAACAAGTCACTAATGATAGGAGGATAGAAAGAAATTAAGTTGATTTGAGAAGCAACACACTGGAGATAGGCGAATCTCAACTGCTTAGTTGTGGACCTAATGTGTTCAAAGAAAGCACTGAGGATATGGTGGGACTAGGCAGCCAAAATGTAGCATCTCACATTTATTCTGAATCATGTATCCAAGGAGTCAAGATGACATACATCAAGCGCTCTAAATGAATGAGCAAATAAAGCATACCATTTCTCCAGAGAATCATCAACATATGGACTTTCTTATATCCAATACAATTTAGATTGTTCGCAAACTGACAGTTTTATATGATGTATTATTGCCTCTTTGTCTGCATCAAACCCTTAAAATCGATTGTATATCTTTTTGGAAAATTGACTGCTATCCTTCTCCAGGACTCTTCTCTGTTGAGAACTTTGGAGATCACTCCTTTGTACCGCTGAAATTTCATGACCATCTAGGCTTCTTGTCAAGCCCCTTTAATGCTTATATCTTCCTTCACTTAGACATCAGTTCGGATGCAGAAGGCTTAAATGTGATGATATTAAACTCATAGCTCCTTCCATGACGTGTGAAAGTGAAACAAAAGTCTGCCCCTTTGACATACACCTCAAGAAGACGTTCCCTTGCTCAAGTTGCTCAGGGATTACATTGTGTGGTGCATGGTTTCACCCCCTGCCCCTACCAGAGAAATAACCCTTAACTGAAAGACCACTGCCACTCTCTCAGTGGCCGGTGGAAAAAGCAAGTTTAATTTTAAAGTCTAAGCTACATCCTGTCATTGTCCTATAATACACTGGAAACACAAATTAAGGAATGTTTCACTTAATCGATGCAGGACAAGTTAGACATCAAAAGGACATTGGAAGAAGAAGCTAGGAATAGCCAGTGGCTTGTTCTCTGGCTCGATTGTGACAGAGAAGGGGAGAATATTGCATTTGAGGTGGTAGATGTCTGCACTGCTGTTAATCACCGTCTGGTTATATGGAGGGCTCATTTTTCTGCATTAAATGAGGGGTACTAAAGTTCGTAAAGTTTTTCTTTTATTTCCTTATGTGCCTTTTTATTTTTGTTTTTCTAATCAGTTGTTTTTCTCTTTTTACATTGAAATGGCAGAGATATCTTGGCATCGGTTCAAAATCTTGTTCAACCCAATAAATTATTTTCAGATGCTGTCGACGCTAGGCAGGTGATGTGGTTACCAGTTTTTTATGGCATCCTGAATAGATCTGATTCTTCTGTTTCCTCATCGTCTGACTGTATAATTTCAGAAATACGGTGACAACATTTTTTTACTCTAATCTGCCACAGATTTTTCATCTCCCACTCTGTAATTTTTTTGCGTTGTAAACTTGATTTTAGAAACTCCAGCTCTGCATTCATTTTCTTGCTTTTGCTGTGTTGGTACTTTATTTTCTAGGCATGGTAACTGGGTGCCAAGTTTAACTGATGACTATGTTTTTGCAGGAAATTGACCTTCGCATAGGTGCCTCATTTACTAGATTTCAGACAATGCTGCTGAAAGATGCATTTGTTCTGGATTTTCCTGGGGATGATAGGAGTGTAGTCTTAAGTTATGGACCCTGTCAGGTTCTGATGTTGAATGATATATGATACCTATTTTTTTTATCAATCATTACTTATTTCATCAATGGTTTTCTTGATAACAAGTTATGATACTTTTTCTCTTGTCTGCTACAGTTCCCTACTCTTGGGTTTATTGTTGAACGATATTGGGAGATACAAGCACATGAGCCTGAAGAATTCTGGACGATTAATTGTTCTCATACTTCAGATGAGGGCACTACTATTTTCAAGTGGATGTAATATTTTGTGGTTATTTGCTGCACCAATTTTATCTTGAGTTTCATCATATTCACTTGCCTTTCTTGTACAGATATGACCGTTCATTTGATTACACATGTGCTGTTGCAACCTATGAGATGTGCGTTGAAGAACCCACAGCAACTGTGAGCTATATATGTTTTCACCATCTCCTATGTTGAATAGTGATGAGGTCTAAAATCCATTTCGTTTCTTAGGTTAAAAACGTCAAGCATGTAGAGGAGCTGAGGTATCCTCCATACCCATTGAGTACAGTTCAACTCCTAAAACGCGCATCAACATATTTGGGAATGAGTTCTGAGCGCACTATGAAGGTGACAGTGGGCTAATATTCCCTTGATTTACATGTTAATGTTGCAGTCTTCCTTCTGAGTAGCTACTCTTGCACTCAACAATGATTTTCTTAGGCAGTTTGTGCTTACTAGCTACATATAGAACTGGTAACAAATAAATGTCTAGGGAATATCAAGTCTAGGGTTAGGATCTAAACTGGTTGCACTTTGAAGTTTGACAATGGTCCCTCATTGAAGAAGCTAACAGTGTTTTGTAGCTTCTGGGAAATACATTTCTCTTGGATTTACATATAGGACTGGTTAAAAAATACATGTCTAGCGAATATTAAGTCTATGCCTAGGATCTAAGCTGGTGGCTCTTTGAAGTTTGACAATGGTCCCTCATTAAAGTAGCTAACAGTTTTTTGTAGCTTCTGGTAACGTGGGAGGTACATTTCTCTTGGGCTATATTACAAACACGAGTGTCCCTGTTTTTGCATGCATGTGTATTTTTGCGCGTGCACATGTGAGCGTGCGTGCATGCCAATTCACACAGACACACTTTCACGCCACATGCATCTGCAAGCTGCAAATACTAACAATGGAGAGCTGGAATTATAGTTAGAATACACAACCCTGCTTCAAACTCACATTTCTCATTGAAAATTGCTAGGAAGAAAGAGTTTGTTACTCTGCTTCCTTTGAGGAGTTCATACTCTATCAATCTTATCCCACCTGTGATTAGTGATTTCTGGCGATCGAAGTTCTCTAGAATATACATAGTAACCTATTACTATGTATTTCGAATATCTTTTATTGATGCTGGTTGTTGACATTGCTGCTTTATTATTTCAGGTAGATATTTTACGCCCATAATTACTTCAAAATGACTAAAATCTTTCTTATCATGTATCCAGGTAGCTGAAGAGCTTTACATGTCAGGATTCATTAGTTACCCTCGCACAGAGACAGATAGTTTCTCGGCGAACAGTGACCTAAAGGTCAGTATCTAGCATTTTTTAGGGCTAAAAGTAGAATTACTCATCTCTTAACATCTTTCTTTTAGCTTTTTTTTTTCATTTGAACAATGAAACTGAATTCATTTCTGCTCTTATTAGTCAAACTGATATAATTTTTCTTAGGGCATTTCTGTAGTCATAAATAGTAGTTTTGGCATGTTCCGTACTAGATAACAGTAGTTTGGTTTTATTATATATTGAAAAGTTTGGTCTTATCTGATACGAGTCGCCGTGCGAGCATCTTTGATCGCGGAATGATCAAAAATGGGTTGAGAAGAAGACAATAGAAAACACAACACAATTCTGATTTGGCGAAGGAAAATATCTTCTCTAGATTATGAGTATCAATTGTTTTACAAATCTCTCTCACAATCTCAAATCTCACGAAATTCTGATTAGGCATCCCTAAACAGCAGAGTTTTAATTTATACAAACCCTAAAAACCAAATCCCAGCAGGAACCTAGAATTCAGCCCAAACCCGTCATGAGTCGACTCAAACGTGCACGAAACCCCTAGAGTTGACTTATGATTTCATAAGTTGACTCAGTAGAAACTTTTGTTAACTAGAACGGGTTTCGTAAGTCGACTCATGCCAACCTTGAGTCGACTCATGTCGGGCTTCAGTCGACGCAT